AACCTCCGGGGCCCTTCCAGGCCCGCCGCGCGCTGTCGGGGCCTAAGCCCTGCCCCCCCCCCCCCCTCCCTGGGCCTCGCACTTCGGTGGTCGATGGACTTGCGGCTGGCGCGCCTTGTCATTTAAGCGCTTAAGGATCTGTGTTTGCTAATTGGTTGCGCGCGGGCATCAGCGAGCGCAGCTGCGTCGTGGCTGTTGAGTATTCATGCATGTTTATAAGTAAGCATAAGCGTCACAACCCGAAGGCGCGTCATGTGCATTTCGAATCAGATGTAGTCGTAGCTGAAACGCAAGTGTAACATCGGTCTTGCAATGCGCGTCTGGCGACGACCTCGAGACTAAAGGACACTTGGTTCTCTCGCGAGGCAGGCGCGCAACTTTCCGCCTCGCGCCCCATGCGCGCCAACCAGAATGACATAGGCTTCGCACGTACAGCAAACGCAAGGTGACGCGAGCAACACGCATCCAAACTCCGAAAATCCCACCCCCATCGCCCTTTCCTCCTCGCCCTCCAGCTTCCGTATCGTATCATTCCTGGTTCGTTCTCGTCTCCTCCCGCCCGGCACCTCCCCGCTCGCGCCCCCTCGCTTCTCTGCCTGATGTCCCCCGCCCCCCCCCCCTGCCCCTAGCCCCTCAAGCTTCGCGTGAAATAACTCGGCCGGGTTGGCACGCCGCGGGCCGATGATCTGCTCGATAGAGGAAAGAGAACTATGCACATGCACCGAATCTGGCCAGACCCATCCTGAGCCAATGATCGGTGCATACGCCCTCCTGCTTTGGCCAGGAAGGCACATGCACCGATCCTGGGTCAAGGATGGGCCTTGCCAGGATCGGTGCATGCGCATAATTCTATTCGCCCGACTTGAAGGGCATCCGTCGTTTCCCCCCCGAAGATGGGCCCCATCGCCCGATCAACTTCCCCATCGCCTCGATTCCCCTCAAAGTCTCCAGGGCAATGCTCAACTGGCTGACCCTCTCCTCCTTCCAGCCGAGTATCTTGTCGTTCTCGCCGGCCTCATCTCCGATCTGGCCTTCTAGCACTTCCATCGTAATCGGCGCCGGGTCCTGCGCCTGACCCTCGACCCACTCCAGGGCCCCCCTGAATAGCTCACCGAAGATCGCGGTGAGATGCGCGCGCGTCTCCCGGCACCGCTCCGCAAACTCGCCCTCGCCATTCTCGAAGATAGCGGGCTTGCCAGGCCCGGCCTCTTGGCATCTACTTGGGATAATCCGCCTGACTCGTCCTTTGCCGCGCCTGCCTCAGCCAGCATCTGTGCTGCATCTCCTAGCTGCTGGGCCAGCCTGGTCAAGTCTCCATGGACCTGCCGCAGGCGTTGCACCTCCTGCTGAAAATGCCGTTGCTGGAACTGCAACTGCTGGTTCAATCTGTTGTTCTGAACTGTCAGCTGCTCCGCATATCGCTGCAGGTCAGCGAAGACGGCGCGGCCCGGCTCGTTCATTCTTGCTATAGTTGAGATGCTGGCCAAGATTGGCCCACCATTTCTTCAGCCTTGGCGCCCTCCAGAACGTCAGCAGCAGCCACCTCCGCTCCAGTGCCGATCCTGTCCAACGCCTGTTGCGCCTGAATCGTTGGTAGAGCTCGTCGTTGACCTCAATAACTCAGTCCTCCTGCGTCACCGCTGAGGCTCGCGATGGCGGGCGGCGATCTGGGGCGGTCTCGCGGCCCGAGGGCGCCGAGGGCGGGGGGCCTCGCCCAGCGACCGTGCAGAAACCTTTTGACGCAAATGGGTTGCGGAGCAACGCTGCGACAATCACAACTCTCCAAATCTCAGATCACAAACCCCCTTCGCTGACATTATCCGGAATGTCCTGACAAAAAGCCCAAATTCAAAGCAACTGGATGCACGCGGTAAGCCGTGAACCTGGTCACCGCCGGGAGCCTCGTAGAGTTTCACGCGCGCGTTGTATTCCTGGTTGCCACAAGTCTTCGCTCCACCGAATGCCTCACTGGCGAGATGCCGCAGACCGTTCCTTCGCCCGTTTTGGGGCACCCGTCGCCTCAAAGATTCCGTGGCCCCGCGGGTGGCTGGCTGGCGCTGTTGGCGCCAGCAGCTGAAGCTCTTGTCCCTATAAGCAGAGTAAGGCGCAAGGGCATAATAATGTTTCGCTTTACGCGGCTAAGAATACAGCGTGTGCGCATGTTTTGTGCTTTCAAGGGCTTCACGACAAGCTCCATTGGAGTCGCGCGCGAGTCCTCTACGAGCCTTTTTTGAAACAGTCTTGAGACACGGTTGGGGAGTATTGGGGCCTTCTCGGCCCGTCTTGGGCCCCTGCGTGAGCTCCTTTGAGCATGTTTTGGGAAGCGTCTTTGGGCTGTCCTGGTCCATCGCAAGGTCTTGGATCATCTTAAGGTCCTTTTGGGTGTGTCGGAGTACCGCGCAACCTCATGGATCCTGAGCGGAAAGAAATCATACAGCGATTAAACATAAGACTGCCGCGGGGTTTGAATGATGTTGGTCGCCTGGATATCCTCTTGGGACCCCCTGGGACCATCTTGGAGGCATCTTGGGCCCCTCTCGGGCTGCCCAAACGCACTCTGAAGCAACGTTGGCGTAGTCTTGGATTCTGATAGTAAGACCTGTTCTTTGCGTTGGAACAAAACGCAGTAATCAATGTTTGCGCTGCGAGCGGTAACCAGCCCCCTTGCTATATGCAGGCGTATCCCACTGTCACCTCGCATTTGTGCAACCCTACGCGCCTCGCGGCATGGAAACACAGCGTGCATCAATAATTGTCTGCAGTGCGAACGGGGATGGTGCACCCTGTTGTTTGCGGGTGCGTGCCGCTCTGCCTTCACAGCTCGTGCAGCAAAGCTCCAAGAGACGCCCAAAACGACCAAGACGACCCCGAAACGGGCTGAACACTGACCAATATGGCCCCAAAACAGCCTCATACGGGCTACACCCAGCCCAAGATGGCCCCAATACGGCCCGCAAGGCGCTTCGCAAACGATCTAGGAAAGCCCCCCGTCGGCGGATGTGGCGTCAGCCTGTAAAATCCGCCGACCCCTTGTGGGTGTCTAGGTGTGTGAGATTCTCCCCGCCCCCCCTGGGGCCCCAAACCTGTCATTTGACCCCCCCCTCGCCCGGCACGACCCACCGCCGAACGCGTCATGGGGGAACAAGAGGGTCCCAAATCGAGCCAAGAGGGCATCAAAACGCCTCCATGACTGTCCAAGAGGGCGACGAGTCGCCGAAATAGCCTTCCAAGAGGCCCACGAATCTTCCACACAGCCTCCGAAGCCCCCAAGACGACCCCAAAAGCCCCCAAGAAGCGTCCCAAGCGAGCCCCAAAAAGCAGAAATCGTCCCATTCCATGTGTGAATCATTATTTTTTACCACATTGGCCTCTTGCGGTTTCGTAGCGTCCGAAGCGGGCCACGAAACCTCGCAGATCCTCCCAGGGCGGCCTCGGTAACTGCCGACAGAGGTCCAAGAGGGCCCAAAAACGGCCTAAGGCTAAGCGCCCGAAACGGCCCACGAGGGCTTCCAGACGGATCCAAGAGGGAGCCAGGAGGGCAACTTGTTGGTCCTTTGGCTCCGAAGTTCCCTCATCCTGCTGCAAAAACCTCCTAAGAGGGCCCCATGTATCCCCAAACGAGCCCCAAAAGGCACCCAACAGCCTCCCAGACAACCCCCAAGAGGCCCATGCACTACCTCCAGGACGCCCCCGTGACGCCTCAAGACCAAATCATGACTCTTCCTCCTCCTCCTCCTCCTCCTCTTCCTCCTCTTCTTTGGCTCCCCTTCTGCCTCTCCTCCCCCATCTTCCCCCTGCTCCTCCTCCTCCTCCTCCTCCGCTTTCACTTTCTTTGCGTTTCTCGTTTCATCGGCTTCGTCCTCCCTCTCGCTGGCACCCCCGCTGCTCCTACTTCTACGGGCCATGGCACGGGCTCCCTCCTGGTATCATTTGCACGCCGTGCATTTCAAGGTGCCCTTCTTCTCGTCACGCGCGACACGGCTCGCGTCCACGGATAAAATTGGCTTCGGCAATTTCCTCTGGCACTTGCCACTGCACTGAAAGGCCTGCCAACTGCGCGATGTGAGCCCTCCAAACACAGAAAAACACAATCAAAACAGTGAACTCAATTAAGGTGTCGGCGGATGTGGCGTAAGCCTAAAGCGTCGAAGAGCCTGCCCAGAACTCACCCAATGGGAAGGTCGCTTGGGCTGGAACTGGAAGTGTGCTCGTGGTTTCTCGGGCGATCCTGGGCCCGTCTAGGGGCACGGCTTGAAGTTCACTCCTGGGGCGTGTTGGGGTCTCTTGGAGTCTCGTGTGGGGATCATCCGTGTTTCCGAGGGCTTCTTGGAGAGATGTTGGGAGGAGAGCACGGTCGGGAATGACAGGTACCTTTTTTCGGGGAAGGGCCTGGGAGCCTTCTCGGAGGCGTCTTGGAGACAGTTTCCAATCCAAGTGGGGACCTATTTGAGCCCTGTTGTGGGCCTCCTGGGGGCCTCTCTGGGCATCCTTGGGGCGTCTTGGAGGCCTCTTGGCCGAAGGACGACAGTGGCCGAATGGAAGCATCATTATCATTACGCTCGACGAGACTGGCCTCGGAGACTGCTTTGAATGCGAGGCCTGTATATACGCGATCGCACGCAACAAGAACGCCGACGCTGATCTCAACGGAGGCAGGGCTGTGCCAGACGACGCCACGCAACCCCGGAAAACCGAAGCGCAGCGCGGCGCACGAGCGCCATTGGCGGGAAGCTCCCAAACCAGAAGCAGCCCAGCTTATAACAAAAGCGGTCTCCGGCGCAACCAAAAAAGGTATACACCACCACCGCGCCTGCTTTGGCAAGACCCGTTCTGGCCCCAGGGCGAGGGGCGGCGGGCTGGGTCGTCGGCGGCGGCGGGGCTGCAACGGCGGGTCTCCCCCACAAGAGCCAAGCTGCGCCAAAACGGACTGCGCGCTTTCCCCGATCTTGGTGGTGGTCATCTGACCCGGGTCTGGTCGGAGGAACCACTGGCGAGCGTGGCTACACGAGGCTCCTTGAGCGTACGGGCTCGTCAGGCCGCCGGAACGAGATCTTGTAGCCGTCGATCTCGCAGCGATTCATGATGTCCAGCAGCTCCGCCTCCCGGACATTGATGGACTTGTGCGGGGAAAACGGCAAGGCTATGCGATGGAAGGCGCTGCCCAGGAGCAGCAGGTCCTCGGTGGTGATGCCCTCCGCACTCAGGAGCGCCTGGGCGCTCGAGCTGAGGCCGTCGCCAGCGGCGAGGCTTTCGATGAAGCTCTCGCTTGGGAACCTGAAATCGACACCCGGGCGCTGGATGGTGACCAGGTGGATCGGCAGGCGGGCTCGCAGGGCGGTCACAATCTCGATGAGCACCCAGGGCCGCGTCAGCACGTTGTCCGTGAGGAGCAGCACCACGTTGTGGCTGCTCCTGATCATGGTCCTGATGTGGTCCGTCTCCTCGAGGTCGTTGGAGTCGAGGAAGATCGGCCTCCTGAGGTTGAACGCGGGGTGGGCGGGGTTCTCCTTTATGATCCGGTGCATGCCCTCCTCGATGAGCGCCGCGTCCGACCCCGCCTCCTCCTTGAAGTGCGAGATGAAGATGAAGGCGCTGTTGTCCGCCATCTTCTGCAGGTACTCGCTGATCAGGTGCCTTGGGGTCTCCATCACGTCCGAGGTCTGATGCATGCGGGCCCTGTCGTTCAACCAGGAGACGAAGCAGGCCGCGTATTTGAGACAGAGCACGCGGGTGATCTCGTATGCACTCACGATGGTGGCGAACTCGGTGCTCAAAAGAGTCAGCATAGTGCAGTCGCCCTCCGCGAAGAGCTCTCCCTGGTTCGTCCACCGCGTCCACAGTGCGGCCTCGCAGATGTGCTGGCCTCGATAGCGGATCACCTGCTTCGTGTCCAAGTCCTCGGAGGAGCCCGCCGCAAGGTAGGTCGTCAGTGTCCTCCCCGACGCGGAGTGGGTCTCGCGGGACTTCTTCAGCTTCACGTAGACGCCGGTGCCAGACTCGACGACCAACATCCGCCTTCGGTGGCAACTCATGGGAGCCTCCCGTACCATCTTGTCGGCTCTTGTGAATCGACGCTAATCGACGCTAAATCGATGGTAATCAACGCTGAATCGACGCTGCGCGACGCCAACCGACGCTAAATCGGCGCTATCTCATCGACCTCTAGATGCTACTCGACGCTGAATGCGGAATTCTAAACATCTACTAGGCTCCCATGATCTGTTACCGAATCCGCCTGCACGCGTCCCCGAGGCTGAACACCAGCTCGCCCGATATAAGCGAGACGCCCGAGATGGCCTTGTAGCAGAGCTGCCTCAGCAGCCGGTTGTTCGAGAAGCCGTTGCGCCGGAAGAGCGGCACGAGCTTCAGCAGGGGCAGGCGCACCTCTTCGTAGAGCTGCTGCTGCAGCACCAGCGGGAGGGACTCGACCAGCTTCTCCTCCAGCTCCATGGTGTCCTTCGGGCGCAACCTCACCGACCCCTGGCAAACCATCCCCTTCCGTGACGTCCACCCCGCCTTTCAAACTTCCCTCTGGCGGCACACATTTTCCGTCGGCGGCGAGGCGGAGGCGGTCCGCTACAGCGTGTGGCGTTTCGGGGCAGCCGAATGGCAAATTGGCCGGCATGCAAGAGAGGGGCCTCTGGCCGCACAGATACGACTTGGGGCAAGGCGAGGGGGGCGTCGAGGAAGGGGATGGTCTGCTAGTGGTCGGTCAGGACGCCCCCGAGTCCTGCACGGACATCCTCCCGCTGCTGTTCTTCCCAAAATGCGCGCGCACCTGGTACGAGAGTGCGGGGGAGATGCGCCGGCGGCGCAGGTAGCGCCTGGCCGCCTGCTGCATCTGGAGCTTCTGGGTGTCCGCCAGGGATATCATGGCCTGCGTGAGGTTGGCGATGAAGATCGCAACGAAACCATGGGCGCCCAAGAGCACCAGGGACTGGAAGGCGATCTCCAAGAACGTCCGCGGGGGCGTAAGACTCGTGCCATGCAGCTGGGTGATCACCCAGTGCACGGAAAACAGGTACTGCTCGGAGAGCGCCGCAGACTCCAAGAGCCCCTCTCTGGAGACCCATCCGGAGCTGTTGCTCGCACCCACGCCATACCTGGGGACAAGAGGTACCGGTACCGCTACTCCCCGGACATCAACCTGGGTACGTTCTGACTCGGATTTCGAAGCGAATCCAGCGGAGGCGACGAGGGCCTCCGACGGGCCTCCGAGGGGAGGAGGCTTAAAAAGGGGAAAACGGGCGGAGGGTAGAAGTACCTTGTTCTCCTCTGAGTACCAGACACACGCGACGAGGTGAATCCCTACGCACAGCCCCACGGTCAGCTTCAGAATGCTGACGCCGAGAGTCACCCACTCGGAGGCGTACAGCAAAATCTCGTTGATCATGTGCGAGAGCCGCCCGAGCCGCAACAGGCGGAGTACGCGGACCAATCGCAGCGACCTGAGCACTGGCACGGCCGAGAGGGTGGAGTTGTTCTTCAGGACGACGACCAGCCAGTCTGACGTGACGACGATGATGTCGAATACGCACCACGACTGAACGTATGCCAAAGCCACGACCTTGGGCCTCATCTCGATGTGACCCTCCTTGTGGAAGCCGGTCACAAGGGACAGCGGGATGTCGACGGTCCAGAAGACTCTAGCGAGCCAATCAAAGAATGCAATCACCAGTGGGACGTACTCGAACGTGTAGAAGAAGAAGAGGGGCACGGTAACTGTGTCGTAGGCAATCAGCAGGAGGCTCAGAAAACTCCAGAGGGTAACCCCCCACTGCATAGGGTGCACCATCAGCCACTTGGCGACGAACCCTTTCGAAACAAAGGTCAGTGTATCAGCCTCCTTGAGATCCTCAGCAGCTCCCCCCAGCGACAGGCTCGAACCCATCGAGCCACCCCGAGAGAATTTCGACTTCACGCACATGGTCGCCGCAGACCGCGCGTCCATCGCGGCCAGACGGAAGATCGGCACGTGGCTCACCCAACCGTCCAAGACCACGTAGAGCGAGGCCGGCTCCCGGACACCATGCAGCTCCACCGCCTCGGACGGCGTTGAGTCCCTCGGCGGCCGGTCCCGCCTCAGCTGCAGCTGCTCTGGCGCCTGCTCTGCGACAGAGGGCTCGGACCCCGACGACGCCCACTCCACCTTGGCGGCGCGCAGAGCGGGGTAGGCGGAGGGGGGAGAGCTTCTTAGAAACGGGTTGCTTCTTAGAAGGCGCCGGCATTGCACCTACAGACAAGGCACGCGCCTTCCCAGAAGCAGGGGTGCTTCTTTCTATCGAACAAAGACGCCAGAAGCATACATACACTTGAAGCGCTCCCCGCGGACCAAAAGTTTATGTTTATGGCGATTTGTCTTCTTTGATTATGAGAAGCCTTCCCCCCTCCCCCCACTTGGGGTGACCCAAGAGGGGGTCCAGCTGAAAGGGGGCGTTGCAGAAGATGTTGTGCAATCTATTGCACCACCCCCTTGTCGCTGGACCCCCCCCTGTTGGGTCAACCCGACCCACCCCCCCCTGCGCGTGGCTGACCACCACCAACCGTTCCGGCTCCGCCACGCGCGGCCTCCTCAGGGCACGCGCGCGCTCCGGCGCCGCGGGGGCGGCCTCCTCCACGGCCCCCGCCGGCTCCGAGGCGCGCTCCTGGGGAAACCCCAACAGGCAACCGCTACTGTTCCCCCCCAGACCTCTCCCAGGGTGCGCTCGGACCAGGATTTCGAGGCGAGTCCAGCGGTGGCGACCAAGGCCTCCCAAGAGGCCCACGAGGGCGAGAACGAGGCGAGGGCAGAGGCACGGGCCGTTCCTCCTCGGAGAGCTCCGCGGGGGCGGCCTCCGAGGCGCCCCGGCCGCTGCCGAGCCGCAGCTCCTGGAGCTCCCGCCGGTGCTGCTCCAGCAGGCGGGCCCGGAGCGAGTCGAGCTCCCCCAGCAGGCCCTCGAAGCCGAGCGCCGCGGGGGGGCGCCGCGCCGCCGCGGCCTCGGCCTCGGGCGGCGCCGCCGTCGGCATCGGCCTCGACCCCGCCGCGGGCCGCGGGAGCCGAGGCCAGCGGCAGCCGAGTGGCTCCCCCCTCCTCCTCCTCCCCCATCCTCCTCCTCCTCCTCCTCCCCCCCTCCTCCTCCTCCTCCTCCTCCTCCTCCTCCTCCTCCTCCTCCTCCTCCTCCTCCTCCTCCATGCTCGTTCCTTCTTCGCCCTCCTCGCCCCCTCCCTCGCCACTCGGCACCCCCGGCGGCCTCGGCGTCGGCTCCCGGTGCTGCCGCGCCGCGCGCGGGGTGTCGGCGGCCCGCAGGCCGCCCCGCGGGCGGGGGGCGGGATGGCGGCCGCGGCTCGCGCCAGGATGGCTGCGGGCTGGCCGCCTCGGGGCTCATCGGTTGTCCCCGTGACCCAAAAGAGAGGTCAAATGATCTGCCCCCATGATGAAACCACCCCGAGAAGCGAAGCCGTGTAGTGAGCGCGCCCAAGACAGGAATCGAACGGGGCAGGGCTGGTTAGTGAAGGCCTAGGGCCGTGTAGTAAACGCCAATTGTCTGGGCCTGAATGGTTTCTCATCCCCAGACAGAAGGGAGTCCAGCTAGAAGGAGGTGGTGCAATGGATTTGAAGCAATCGTATTGCCAATGTGCTGCGCCAGAAAATCGTACTGCATTGTGTTGCAACTCATGCGGCCCACGCCCACAAAAAGACAGCAATACTTCTGCGCACTGGAATGTATTGCACACCCCAAATCTACTGCAACCCCACAAATCCATTGCACCAGAAATCTATTGCACCACCCAGGGGTGCCTGGGGGGACCCTGCCCGTGCCCGTTCCCCGGTGGCCGTGTCTCGCTCCCTGACAACATGAAGGAAGCCGCGAACACCCTGCAGGCACACCCTCTGACCTCCACGGCGCACATCAGACCCAAGGCAGGGCCACACCGCCATGGACGTCGCCGCCGTTCAGCCGGCCAGCTCCGCCGCAAGCTCCTCCGCCGCCCCCTCCTACTCCCTCCTCGCTCCTCCCAC